TTTCCCCGCAACTACCCTTCACGGCGCCCTCCCGGTGCGACCCCGCCGGCTTCAACGCCCGCCTTCCCGCCCCGGGCCTTCACGTTCTCGGCTTCCGCGGTAACCGACCCTGTCTCCCCCCCCTCTTTTGCTTCCGCCGTGCTCTCCCTCGTCGGGCCTCCGTCCTCCTTTTTGATGTCTTGACGTGCTGTCGTTTCTGCTCTTGACTGCATGTGCTCTCGTGTCTCACTATGCTGTTCTGCTTTTCTCGGTCCTCTGCTCATACTGCATGCTGGCGCAGCGTTTCATTGCGTGGTTGTGTGCTCTTCTTGCTCCCACGCTCCGCTCCCCTACCTTGGCGTGCCATCTTCCCGCTCCCTTCGTCTTTTTCTTCACATGTGTCCCCACGTCTGCCTTCCGTTCTCGTACTGTTGGCTCTGCTTAGCGCCCTCGCCTGTGTCGTGCCCGCGTATGTTGCCTTCTGGCTACTCTTTGGTGGGCATTCGCCTCTGTTTGGGTGTTCCTTCTGTTTCGCCCGCCTGCTCGGCTCTGTGCCGTCTGTTTCTGCTTTTGCTTCCGTTCCTTGTCTCCGTGTTGTCCTCCTTGCGTTTCCCGTGTCTCCGCCTGGTTTCGGGTTCCCCCCCGGTTCCCGGGGCGTTCTTGTGCCCCGCGTCCGTGGGGGTCGGTGGGGGTCGGGGCCCCGCCCCCTCCCCGCGGCCCGTTTGCCGTCGCCGGCCGCGGGCCGGCGCCTGCCCGCCGGGCCCCCCGCTGCCCGGCCCTTCGTCGCCGGCGGCCGCCGCGGGTGCCCCTTCCCCCCCCGGCTCCCCGCTGGCCCTTCCCCCCTCGGGCTCCCGGCTTCCCCGTTTGCTGTTCCCCCGCCCCCGTGGTGTCCCCCGGCCTCCCGTTTCTCGTGCCTCTGTCTCGTTTGCTGTTCGGGTCCCGTTCGTCGGTTCCTGCGTCTTCTCTCTTGCCCTGCTCGTTGCCTTGGTCTCCCGTTGGCCTCGGTGCCCGCCGTCTGCCCCCCTTCGGCTTCTTCCTTCGTCTGTGGCTGCTCCCGCCTCGGTTTTCGTTCTCCGTTTTCTCCCCCTTCCCCGTGTTCCTGTGGGTTGCCTGTGCTTGCTCTGTGTTCTGTGTGCCTGCTCCCCCCCTTTGGTTGCGCTCCCCTTGGTTCTTCCTGCGCTGCGGTTCCGCCGCTGGCTGCGGTCCGCTTTCCCCTCTCGGGCTGCGGTCCCCCGTTTGGTTGCGCTCCCCCGTTTTTCCTGCGCTGCGGTTCCTCTTCCTGGCTGCGGTCCGCTGCCTCCTCTTGGGCTGCGGTCCCCTGTTTGGTTGCGCTCCCCCCTTCTGCTGCGCTGCGGTTCCTCGGTCGTTGCGCTCGCCCCCTCCGTGTTGCGCTCCGGGCCGGGTGCTGCGGGGCCGTGTCCGCGCTCTCTGCGCTGCCCCTCCTGTCTGGGCCTGCGCTTGGTCCTGTGGCGCCCTCCCCGTGTGCTTGTGCTGCGCTCTGCTGGTTTGGCTGCTTCTGCCGTGCCCTGTGCCCCTCGGCTCCCTGCTCGTCCCGTCTCTGGTTCTGCCTCTTGGTCTCTCCCTCTGTCGCTCTGGTCCCTCTGCTTGTGCCTTCTGCCTGTTGCCTTGTGCTTCTCCCTCTCTGTCGCGTCTCTTCCCTGTTTTCCCGCTCGCGTCTCTTCGGCTCTCTCTTCCTGCTCGCCCTGGTTTTTCTCTCTCTCTCTCTCTCTCTCTCTGTCTGTCTTTCCCCGCGTTGGCGTGGGTTCCCGCCTCTCTCGCTGCCCCGCTCTCTTTGGCTTTCCGGCCCCGCGCGTCGCCCCTGGCGCGCGCTCGCGTCTTGGCGCGTCGCCGTCGCTCGTTTCCCTTTCGGCCTGCGTGCCCTGCTTCTGCCTTTCCCTTCTGCGGCTCTTCGTTCGTTCGCCTGTGCCCCTGGACTTGCGCTCTCGTCGGCGCCCCGTGATGGCACTCCCACCTCCCGTCCTCTTCTAGTTCTGTTTTGGCTCTCCTGCGCATTTCGCTTTCTTCTCTCCCTTTCCCCGTTTCCCCCTTTCGGGTGTTCCGCCCGTCGCCCCCCGCGGCTCCTCGTCCACTCGCCTGCGCTCGTCCGCGTGTGTCGGGCTCTGGTCGCCGGCTGCGCATCGTCGGGGTCATCCCACGCCTGCGCTCCCCCCTGCGAACTGCGTCCGTGGTGTGTCGGGTCGGCCTGTCCCCCCGCGCGTCCCCGTTTCCCGCCTGCGGCTCGATCCGGCGGTGTGTCGGAGCTGTGCTTCCGCCGTTGCCGCTCGTCCCCGGTCTCCTCGGTTGCTCCGGTCCCCCCTTCCCTCTCTCCGGTCTGCGCGGTGTGCCGCGTGTTCGCACGCCTCTAACTCGCTGCCCCTCTGTCTGGGCCTGCGCTTGGTCCTGCTGGGCGCCACTCCCCGTGTGCTCTCTGGACTCCTGCTGCTTCTGCTGTGGTCATCCGCTGCTTGCTGGCGCGTGCCGTTCCACCTGTCAGACTACCTTCCGCTGTCTCCTGCATCTCTTTGTCTCTTGCTTCTCCTGTTCCTGTGCTGCTCCCTCTCTGTTGCGATCTGTTCTCGTTTTCCCGGCTCGCGTCTCCTCCGTATCTCTCTTCCTGCTTCCCCCTGGTTTTCCTATCTCTCGCTCTCTCTCCCTCCCTCTCTTGTCATTTTCCTTGTGTTGGCGTGGGTTCCTCGGCCTTACTTCCCTGCCCCGCTCTCTTTGGCTTTTCCGGCCCGCTGCTTTCGGCCCCCGCGCGGCGCTCGCGGCCCTGGTTTGTTCGCTCGCTCGTCTTTCCTTTCGGCCTGCCTGCCTTGCCTGCTGTCCGTTGCCCTTGTTTGCGGCATCCTTCGTTCCTGTCGGCTGTGCCTCCTGCTTCTCCCGCTCCGCTGTGCCTCCCCCATCGCCCCCCCTTCTGTTCCTGCCCCTCTCTTTGCGCCTTTCTTCCTCGAACTTGCTTTTCCTCTTCTCCGGTCCCCCTTCTCCCCCTTTCGGGTGTTCCCGGCGGGGCTCCCTCCTCGCGCCGCCCCTCTCGGCTCCTTCCCAGCCGGGCCTCGGTCCGGCCCTCTCTCCCGGCTCTCGCCGGCGCCCCCTTGCTGGCCGCGGCTCCGGGCGTTCCTCCTGGTCTGGTGGCCCCCACCGTGTGGGCCCCCCGCTCCCTACTTTCATTTGCCCCCCCTTTGCCCGCCTGTTCCCCCCCTTCCCCTTCTCCCCCTTCCGCCCCTCCTCGCTCCTTCCCGCTCCACTCTCCCCCCCCCCATTTTTACCTTCTTTCTCCTCCCACCGCTTCCCCCCGCACCCCCTCCCCGCGGGCGTCCCTGGGGTTCTCCCTTTGTCGCTTCCCTCCTCCTTGTTGGGCTTCCCCTTCTTCGCCCGCTCGTTTCCCCGGCTCCTTACACCCCCTCCCCCCTCTCTCCCCCCCTTCCGCTCCGTTCTCGCACGCTGGCCGTTCCGCACGGCCCGCTACGCCGACATGGCCTGCTCCGCTGCGGGCTCTGCCCTTCTCTGTTTTCTGGCTGATCTTGTCGCGCTTTTGGGGCCCTCCCCGGTTGGGGGCTCCCGCGGCCCAGTCTGCTTGTGTTCTCTTACTCTCGGGCCCTCCCGCCTCCGCGCCTCCCCCCTGCTTGGTTGCTGATCCCCCTGGCCCCGTTGGCTCCTGCTGCCTCCGGCTCCGTCTTTGGCGCTTGTGTTCCCGATCTCGCCCCTGCCCGCCCCGGGCTCCCCTTGCATCTTTTCCTCCATTTGGGGTTGCCCCGAGCCTGTTTTTCCCCCGTTTTCTCCCTGCCCCCTTGTTTCCCGCTTCCTCATCGCCTTCTGCTGCGGTCTCCACTCCGCTTGTATTCATCCTTTCCCCCATTTGGTCCGCCGCCGTCCCCGCCGCCTTTCGGCTTTTGCCTCCCCTCCGTTTTGGTGTCGCCTTCCTTTCCCCTGGGTCCCCCTCCTTTCTTCCCCCCCCTTGCTCGGCCCCCCTTTTCCTGGCTCTGCCCCTGGCTCTTTGGCCTTTCTTCACCTTACGCTTCTCCCCTCCTTTTGCGTTGTTCCCCGTTTCGGCATTGGGTCCCCATTGTCTGTCTCTGCGCGCCCACCGTCTGCTTAGTGCCGGTGTCGGCCCCCGCCCTCCCGCTGCCCCCCTCGTGCCTGCGGCCCCCTCCTTCGCCCCCGTAGCGTGGTCCGCCGCCCCCGGTCGCCCGCGGCAGTCCCCCCCCCCCCGTCTCCCCCCCTCGCCTTCCTTCGCGGTTTTGTCCCCGCTTATTGGTCCCCTTCGGCTTTTACCTCTTCGCGGTTCACTGTCCCCCGCCCCTGTTGTTGTTTGTTGTTGTGTCCTCTCCCCTTTACTCCCTCCCCCTCCTCCCATCACCGCCCTACCCGCTGTGGCCTCCCCTTTGCTCCCCTCTCGTTCGTGCCTGCCGCTGCGCTCTCCGCGACTCTCATCTCTCTCCCGTCGCCTTGCTCCCTTCCTCCCTTCGCGCCCACGCCTTGCTTGCGCCCTCCCTGTTGGCCCCGCTATGCTCGCTTCCCACCTCGCTTCCCTCCAGGCCCCTTTCCTGCTTCCGTTCTCCGTTTTTTTTTTTTTTTTTTACCCTTTTCCCTCTCCTCCATGTGTTTTGCCCCCTGTTCTTCTTTCTGCCACCTGGCCCCCATTGCCCGCTGGGCCCCCTGTCTCCGTTCCTGTTTTGCCCTGTTTGGCCCCCGTTGCTGTCCCACCCGGCTGCCCCACCCCCCCTCTTTGTCATCTCGTCCCCCTGATTCC